ATTTCTATTGGTAATGTAAGAAATACACTCTGTGCTCTTGTAATGATGGGTTGAAAGAAGAAGATCTCTTGGGATATTAGGCAGCTATCAGGAGATGAAATTATCCCTTTGGTGGTTTTGGATTCCTCTAATGCAAGATGGATAATATGAATGTAGTATGTACAATGATGCTGGGATTTGTTGGTGAATTTGCTTTCTCTTGGTACATATAGACACATCTTAAGCATATATCTGTATATATGATATGCTTAATAATTTTATGTATTATTGATCTTTTGAGRCCGTTTTCTTTTACAAATTTTGGAAGAGGATATCTGAAACAAGGTTACATTGCAAAATATATTTATTAAGAACCTTTTATATGATTTAACTCCATTCTCTTCATGCTGCTTAAGCAGAAGTCTTAACGTAACTTTTTATCCAACAGTATTTCTTAKAGCAAATACTATTACAATGAATGTATTTCCCCTTTTTACTTCTCTTTTGCAAAAATATCACTTGATATCCGTCTGTAGATGACACCAGCATTTTTGGTGTTCTTTGCTCTTTCTAGTAGGGCCTGCTGTTTGGGGTGTAGTTTCGGCTTAAATAAATTTATTGGAGTTATTAAATTAAGGAGAGCTTTGGAAGCACGTTCACACATACCCCTGGCACGAGAGGTGGAGGAGGACGTCACAGCTTTGCCTTGACTTCCTTGGTGTGCTCAGTTTGGAAATATTTGGAAATAAATGGAAATATGGAAATAATGGAAATAAATAAATTTGGAAATAATGGAAATAAATTTGGAAATAAAAAATGAATTTATTTGGAAATAAAGCGTATCCACACTCTATATTTTGTCTTCTTTTCAAAACTCTTGGGTAGCTTTACTTCTTTTTCTGTCCAGTTCGTTGCAGATTAAAGCTGTAGCAGCTGTAAACCATTTATGTTGTTGCTAAATTTAATTTTGTACAATATAAGTTTCCTCTTTTTTRAGCAGTATTTCAAATTTATGAAAATATTTTGGTCAAGTAATATATAAAATTGTACTGACAAGGTAATATATTCCCATTCAAAGTGTATTACATTCTGCAAAGTAAAAGTATTTGCTTTAAATTAGATATAGTTAGAATTTTAAATGCTTACTAACGTTTCTGGAGGTTCTGTAGAGGTCTGARGATCCTACTGCCTTGCAGGAAAATACACAGCCCTAATGAAAGGCAATTATCTGGTAGTCAGGTGGGTTCAGATGCTACATGTGATTCAAAGCCATGAATTGATTGGTAAATTGAAACCGTTTCTTTTGTACATGAGAAATCTTCATTTTGAAGAGTACAGGATTGGATTAGGTTGCTTCTTGTGCATTTTAAGATGAATCTTTAGGTCATTTTCGAGGGTCATTTGTCTTTCCCACCATAGTTTTGAAATTCACTGCCTTTGAAATAATAGCCTCTGAGGCTGTGTATGTGCAGGAAYGCCCCTAACAGAGGATGCTTTTCTGACCTGCGTGTTCAAGTGACATTTGTGACAACTACTGAAGTAACTTGATGAAGTGAGACCTGGATATAAAGAGAACCTAACTAATAAGAAGCTGAGGATTAGGAGGAGTTGTGTATCCTGCAACAGTTCTGCTTTGAGTGTAGCAAAAATAGTGGAACAGTAGCTACAAGAAAAAAATATAATGATTTGAAAATAACACGAGGCCATACTGTGTTTGCTGATAAAATACTTTTTGAAGTTTCATAAACTCCATGTCTAAAGATGGTTTAGATCCCCAGTTCTAGTTCTGGACCAGCAAAGCTTTGAACTTTCTTGAAAATCACCTGTTTTACCAAACTGAACAAACAGGTTTGTGAGTTTTCATGTTTAATGTTCAGCTGTGTCCTGCTACTTGTAGTCTCACGACCTGAGTTTGTAGAATTGATCTTAATGTTTTATTGTACGCCAAAAGTTCACAGATAGGGAAAACAACTTGTCRATTAAAAAAGTCTGAACTACATGTCAGGAATATATTATTTGGGGAAGTGATACTATACTATACTATACAGCTTTCACAAAGTTAACGTTCAATAAGAGATGCTCCATAGCAATTAAAGGTTTGACTGAATGGATACAGATGAGAACAAATCCCTTTACTATTTATAATGAAGCAGAAAATACCATAATTGGCAAGTATAATAAGGTAAATGGTTGTGATCAATTTTTGCATGTAGAGTTSCCAAAAACGGCTGCTACAAAGGAATGTAATGTGATTAACACACCAATCCTTGTTTATTAACCTGGAAATCGAGCTCTCACTTCACTAAAGCTGTATATTCATAATTTGAAAGATGGACTGATATAAAAGGCATAAAATAGCTAGTTTTAGTAGAGAGATTCTAGCTTGAAGTATGTAGTTAACATTTCTGCATATGAATTTACTGAACTGAAACATGAAGGGGGTTATCAGCATACCGATACAGACGTCARTGTGGTTCACAAGTTGACTAGCTCAACAATAGCACAAAGTATTAATATCAATGTCTCTAGGATACCGAGAATTTAATTATATCCAGAGCAGGTAAGAGGGCTTCTCCTGTAGAAATAATAAATAGGTAGATGTTTCTTTGCTTGCTGCTAGGCCTGAATATCTTTTAATTCTATCCCTACTCTCCCCCTCCCCCATGAAAGGGAGCAYCAAGAATCCAAATTCCATCTGGAAAATTCACTTTTACCCTCTGTGTATAACGACAAAAATCTCAGATCTTATTTCCTCTTGGATCTGGGACTTGGAACCAGTCTTGAATATCCATTAGTGGAGAGCAGCCTGCATCACGTTACGTAACTCTCTTGGTTTATTTTTCAGCACAGCGATGGCAAGGGGGAAACCAAAGCTCCTTCTTTCTGCCTGTGCAGGGAGACTTCTCACTGGTGATGGTTCAGAAGCCAGCTCAGGACCTCTGCAGGGTCCTGTGCAATGCCCATGGGTCAGGTCTGGTAACATGGATYGTGAATTATGCACAGGGTAGACAGCCTGCAGCTCCATCTGCTTCCATAGTCAATAGGGTTGCTAAAAGAGAAGTATCAAATTATATGGAGATATTCAGGACACTTATGGAAGTACCTGAACAAAATCTGAAAGTTTGTGAAGGCAAATTCAGCAAAGCCTGTAGCTACAAGTATAAAAGCAATCCCCATCTTGGTCCTAGAAGCTGTGCAAATGTTTTAGATTAAGCTTATGTCRAAGTGATTTGCTTGGTCTTACTCCTCAGAAAATTAGATAACTGTTTTACCAAATTTGAATCTTCTGACTCAGTGTCAGCACTTTTGAAGAGAAATGTGGCAGTACGCAAATGTCTTCATGCAAAGAYATGATTTAAACAACAAAACCATATTTTGCCTCACTTAAGGAAGCTCATTTTAAATGTGAGGCTGCTGTAATGGAAAGAGTGCTTGTCCTGCAGCCTGGGCGAGGTGCCGGCCCTGAGCTGGTGCTGGACCTGCCAGGACATTTGCCAAGTCATTTAAGATGCAGATACTAAAACTGCTAGGAGATGTATTAAGGGGAAAAGAAGATAAATAAATACATAAACTGCTTCATAATGTTGCACTGACACTTGAAATCACTATTAAAAGTAGCTATTTCTRTGTTTAAGACTGGCAGAGAGTGTCCCGACCGGTTGTTTACTTTTCAGGGAGACTCAGTTGTGCCTGCTTGGGTTTTGGAATTGATTTAAGGAAGAAATGTTCAATCAAAGCAAGTCACCAACAGCTTGAATGATTGTGCTGTCTTCAAGCCTCCGTTGGGACATCATTGTCTTTTTCGAGACCTCTAAGGAAAGTAAATAAAATGGATCTGCACAGTTTACGCCTGTGGCTGCATCATACTGTGAGCACTCCAGGGATGTTTCAGAGCAGAGCTGGGTATGGATTTTACTGCTGCAGACTTAACCACATCAAACAGACAGCATTTGCCAAGGAAGTGCTAATAATCTGCCAGAAAATATACTCCAGATATACTCATGAGAGTAAGACGAGGCTAATTTTCTGCTGAATGAAAACTACAATGGTTTTAGTAATCACCTTACAAATTAACATTTCTGAAACTTCATAGCGTAGCGCATTTTGTGTTATCGTTGTCTTTGGTTATTTTTCTTAAGGTCATGTACATCAACAGAATTTTCTGTGCAAGGCAGAAAAAAAAATCCTTGCATAGGAAAAACTTAAGTTAAAATATTTTCATATAATAAAATACTGTTTGTTTTGTTCTGGGTAAATACCACAGGTTAGCTCTCCCAATAAGAGCAGTCTAATWCCTTGAATTCTTTGCTATAGAACAGAGAAATGGGAATATTGGAGAAAAGGGAAAATCTAGGAGCAAAAGGCAGGAGAGGAAAACAAAACAGTATGCATCCTTTTTCCATCATGCTGTGGGCTAGAATCATGGTTAAATCCAGCTTGAGTTTGTTGGTTCTCTTGTCTGAGAAACACCTAGATAATGACTTTGGGTCCTACAAGAGAGATAAGTGTGGGTGTAAAGCTGGGTTCCCAAAACTCCAGGTTTTAGAAACAGGTGGGAAAAGAATAGGGACATTAAGTGAAATCAGCATCTCTTTGGAAACAAATAAAAGAAAAGCCAGCTGTGTGCACGGCCTGGGTTAAGGTGACCTCCTTTCAGTGGATTGGTACCTACTGATGGGGCTCTTGTGTGCTGGGGAGTGAGGCAAACCGGGAGGCTCAAGTTCTGCCTCTGCAACCGTGAGTCAAACTCTGATCTTATTTGAAGCAGGAAAGAGAGAAAAGAAAAAAAAAATTGAATGTCACAGTATGGTTCTCACAGATGTGCTCTACTGGTGGTCTTTACCAAGAGGGCTTTCCTACAGTAAGGGTTAACAAGCTGCCAGCTCTTAATTTTAAACTCTATGTGTATTTGCACTGGTGCCTGCTTTATAGTGAGGCAAAATATTAATTAAAAATCAAAGAAATCCTAATATATGAAAATAAGTTTTATCTTTTCAGAGCACAAAGTGCAATGGAAACAAAAAGAGAACGTGGCTGCAGATACAGCAGACTTGCAGACAGGAGCTGTCCTGTCCTCGCTGTCCCCTGCCTCTCCCATAGCCTGTGTCCGGAGCAACAGAAGCAGTACGGGAGTGTAAGTGTGCAGTCTTAACAGAAAGAGCTGATTAAACTTCTGTGTTGGAATTTACAAGTAAAAATTAGCCRTTCAATTGAGTCTTTCATAGCTGATAGATATTTAAGTATTTTACACATTTACGTTGCTCATTTAGCATTCCAGGTAAATGTCTTAGAGATAGCAGGAGTGATTAAAATCGTCATTGATTTTATTTAAGGTGGGTCACTGCAAGCAAGTTTACCTTATGTCTTTCCATTAGAATGTTTGGATGTAAGTTKAGTTCTTGGGCAAGAGAAAGCCAACTATTGTGTATTTAAACCAATTTTACAGGCAAGTTTCTTTGAAATTTCAGGCAGTTTCTTGGGAGGTGTATYGTTTTGTGATATCCCTTACTGAGATATGTCAGACCCATTCATGTATTATGATGAACTGCATTATTGCAATGATATAATAAATAGTTTCAATGTAAATGCGTTTTCCACTTWTGCAGGTGATACAGTGAGTTTTGTTTCTAATTTGTAAATGTATTTTGAAGTCAGTTAAGGAGAAAGAAATGTCAAAGAGAGCATTTCAAAATTAACAATATAATGGTTTCTGTTGCCCTCTCCTAGCTGGTAGATTGGGGTGAAGCTTATTGTCATCATGTTGCAAGTGTTTTCTATTTCACAAAATCCTGGTGACAAATTCATTTTAGGATTTAATCCATTGTAATAAAGTTGTCATAAAGCAYGTAATTAAAGAATAACCCTAAATGTAAAATACGCATTTCATTTTGAATGGGAGTTGAAGKCATGTGGCAATTCTGAAATTCAGACACTATCATCAAAAAGAAATACCAGGCAGAAAAACTATGTTGGACCTAAGAAATTGATACARTGTGATATGGGGTGAAATTCCAAAACAGCTCTAGCAAATTCCTTAAATAATTTGGGATAAGAAGAGATAGCAGATAGTAAAGTTAGCTGCGGGGACAATGAAGTTATATCCCAGTGGTCTGTTATTTATAATCAATTCTGAGAAGTCTGCATGAAGCAATCGGTCTCACTTCCCATGCTTCCTTGATGTTTTGTTTTTGTTCTAGGTTATTTTTCAAACGTGCTTCAGTTTCCATTAGAAATTTTGTCAGAATTTGGAAGATGAACAACCCCTAAAGGGACCAACCGAGAATGGATATGAGTTCATGTTTTTGCTGTTCAGAATTTTACGAATTATCAGTAGCGATGTTGGAGCATGAAGATTTATTCATTAGCAGAAAGAAATGAAGGCATCAAGATTAGCAACATGCAGGTATAAAATCTCATTTAAAATCTCGTTAAAAATAAAATAATCTTTAGCTGACAAACTTCAAAATGACTTTATCACTTTCTGTAGTTACTGAGGTTTCAGAGATCTAGGAAAGATCAAGCAGAAAATGTAGATCCAGCTGCTTAGCCCAACAGTGCATTTCTGGAACAGCACCATTTCCTTAAATGTTTTATTCTTTACCTTGTTGAGATAGTTGAGAAGATGGACATACAATGTAATTTAAGGCTGAAACAACTCAGTTCTGCACATATTTCAGCTGTAGTGTATTAAATGGAGTAGTAGCAGCGTGATGCAGCGCAGAATGACTGCAGTGATGTGTGCACTTGCACACTGGCTCCTCTCCAGCAGTATGTTCTAATGAATGGGCCTTTTGTCACACGAGTACCATGTTCAAAGCCCAGTTTGGATGGTTTTTTTTCCTTTACATTCCTCAATAAATACTGCAAAAAAGACTTGAGAACAAAGCAAGGGCTGCAGGAAATTATCCAGGCTATCCTCCTTTGCTTTTCTTCCTCCTTGTTGAAGGGGGAAAGAATACAAACCAATATTATGTTATCTCTTTGTTCATTATGAACATATGAATAGAGCAATTTCCTTATTCACSCATCTTTACAAATTACTAGCTTGGTTTCCTGTCATTTAAAACTACAAATATGTCTAGCAAAGAAAATAATAGAATCGTAATAATTACTGCATAYATTAGGGTAATATGAAAAACTTGTTGGTTTAAGTAAAAGCTGATTACTGCACGAGTGAAGGTCTAAGTTGCATCAAATGGACGTTACAAAGAGAAAGTACCTATCAACTTCACAGCACCAATTATAATTTTAGAAAGGTGAGAAAACTGTTCATATATTTTATGTGGCCCTACATTTAAGGTAGCTTAATTTTAATTTATTCTTCTTAAAAAAAAAATATATATATATATATATATATATATATCAGAAGAGACTGGATCTTCAGGGCACTAAGTACTCTCAACATAAATCCTGAAAACCCTGAAGCAGACGCCTGATGTTAAGCCCCATGAAAGTCAGTAGAGTTAAGTGCTCAAAAATAAAGCATCTGTTTTAAGTGCTTGGCTGATTTGGGCCAGGTTTAGCTTAGCAAGAATAGGTATAAACTTGAAAGTTGGTATTACGTGTTATATTAGCCTTGTAGGAGCCATAAAGTTAATGAAAATTTGCCTTAGACTGAAATTTTATTAGGTCTTAGTCAAGTGATGACATATCCCAGTGGCACAGTTGCTTGAGGTCATATTCCAGCTCTTCCTAGCCAGGGGCGGTTCAATTTAGAAAGAATTAGGCAGATTTTATATACAGAGAACATCTCTTACAGGACGTTTGCAGAGCAGTACCATTCTATACATGAAAGATAATATCAAGGGAGTTAAGACCACTTTGACCTGACTTGACTTTGTTCTTTTGCTTTGCTGTTGAAGAGGTGTCCCTGTTCAAGAAGACTGTAGAAGTCGTTTTTGACGTTTGACCACCTATGAACACAGGTGGTACAAGAAACTGGTGGTTTTCCTCCTTCTCAGAGGTCTCTTACTGTAGTAGTTTGTCTTTGAGCAGTCATGAGCAAAGTCAGACAGCTGAGGCTATTGATGCTTTGACTTATTGCTCATGCAATAAATATTTCATTGGTGKTTGTTAGGAAGTAGTAGTTAAATATTCTTCACTAAGCTGGAAATATTTCTCTTTTTTTTGTGGTAAATAGCTCATTGCCCTGCAGCAGAATGGGAATAGTACCTGGTATCGTGTGTTGCAAGGCCCTTCACGGAGTCTGTGGCAGAAGACTCTTAGCTTCGTTGCTTGTGAAGTGGGGCTGACACCCTCCCRCATCCTGAAACCCAAGCTAAGCTAATGCTCTCACACCTCTTCTGAGTAATTTGGAGTGAACCTTTGCCAATGTTCAGAATATTAAATAGCAAAAGCAGATATTTAAAGTATCGCTAAAAGTTGTACTTAAACTGACAAAAGAGGAATAATGCAAGTTTTTGTCTTCTCCGTGATTTTTTTGCTCCTTTCAGTCTGTGCAGTGTTGTTCAGATGATCTGTGAGATACCTCCTGCGTTAGCTTTGATATGTAAATAAGTTTTATCTTTGGTAGTTTTAAAGTTACATGGAAGTTAGGAGCTGATATAGTGACCAAATACGAGTTGTGAGATGGATGGGTTCCAGGCAAGAATGTGTTTATAACTGGGATAAAAATATATTGAACTCTGTAAATGAGTTATGATTTAACTACTATTCAGTAGAACACTTGTCACTGTTGTTTATATCAAATTTCAGAGGGCAAAAACTAATATAAAACAAATGTTCTGAGAACCAAGAAAAAACAAAAGAACATTATGTACACCTCAGGCGGGCAAAGTTCCCTGACTCTTTTCCAGGGAAGTTTTTTAAAGTTCACACTGATAGGAAGATTAACCAGTTCTTTGGTTGAATTTATCCATTATAATTCCTTATRGTAGGAATTACTATTACTGCAGTGTTTTGTGAATCCTGTTCAGGAATACAGCACCTTTTTGAACACTTTTCACATCATCCATCAGTCCAGTCATATGGAAGTAGCAGCGGAAAATATCCAGCTAGGTCACTCTGATGAACTGTAAGATATGTATCATAGTGGAGCATATGTATGGCAGTGGGGTCCTTTTCTGTCTAGGTGCCAACAGGACTTCTTCCAAGTTACTTAAAAGTCAGTCAAAAGTCATGGAGTTGTTTTAAGGGAACGTAAGTGTGAATGTGCTTTTCCTGAACTCAAATAGCAATTAGATCTATTTAGAAATATTATTTCAACCTAAAAACAACAAAAAGGCCAAAGGAAGTGTCAAGAAATGTAGTATCTATCTCCAAACATGCATTTAGAAATACTACATAGGAACTCCTTATTCTTCCCTCTCCTTTCCTTCTCTGTAGGAAGATGCCAGCTGGTCGGCATTGTGGTAGCCTGCCAGGCAGCTGAGAATGAAAGCCGGGTCTGGTAAGTCTGCATTTCTCCTGACTGGTAATTCTGTAACAGARCCTTTGCCAGGGAGCTTGGAGTAAAATAGGTGGAAGGGAGAGTTTGGCTGGTGTGAAACATCTGGGGATTGGTTTCTTAGGAGCGTTTCCAATTCGTCGAGGCACTAGATACAGCAAAATCTCTCTTTCCTGGAGATTTAAATAATGCTAGCCTAGAAATGACTCTCAAAAGGCAAAATAGTTCCTATTCTGTAGTATACTCTCTCCACTGAGCTAATTCTAGTTTTTATCTATTTTTAAATTGATTATCAGTCCTGGATGTATCTTATAGAACAGCCTATTCTATCTAAATATTCAAAGATAAGCAAATAGATCAGTACAGGGATTTGGAAAAACTGCAGCAACTTAATGGTTTTGGTACCTGAAACCAATAACCTTCTTTCCCACTGCACTCCCTAAAAGAAGGAGAGAAGAAGAAAAAATGAGACAAGAATGAGGATGTATTTAGGGTTACTTGTATACTGTCTAGGTTTTGAAATGCAGACTCCCCATTAATATTAATATTTGTGGTCCATCTTGTATATCCTATGACTTTATTCCTAATGTAAATAGCTAGTACTTTGTAGTTACCTTTTAGAAGTGGAATTCTGGTCACCATACAGAAATTCCAGGCTCACTCAACACTGTATGAGGAGTTGGCATTAAACCTGGCCTCCGTTTGACATAAGAGGCAGGAATGAAGTTACTACTTCTTACAAAGCTCTTTCTACCGCCGTTTTCCTCTACTCTTTATTCTGACAGCTTATAAATAATACATATACCTCTTACTCCTTGTGTAATGACAGTTGCTTGTTTGTTGCTTTTTGTGGGGAAACCAGGGGTGTCAAATTTGCTCAAATAATAAGCAAGATGGCAACTACTAGCCAAGTTATTTAAAATAAATACATAAATAAAATAAGACTCCCGGGAGATGCTAAATAGACAAGCCCATCAGACTAAATAAGTGTTACATATGTTTGGTTCATACATGCATACCTATAGGCAGTCTATTCTTACTCTTCCATAAATGTCCATTTATGGTTGCCTGTTAGAAAAATGACGTAAAACCCTTGCTTTGTTCCAGCAAAGCTATTCTGATGTTCTTACACTGGGTTATGTTATATTGCAAGTATATTTGGAAAGTGCATATCACATTAATAGATGTTCTTTATATTCCAAGGTAAGATTTTTTTTCAATAGAAGGTATTATTTCTACTCTTTGGGTAATCTTTCCTTATCAACAAATGCAACAATTGTTCCTTTTTGTCGGGGGAGGTGGGCAAAGAGAACAAAGGCTTTCAGGTAAAAAATAGAACAAGTTCTTGGGTGAAGTCTTGTTTCAGATATTGAATAAAAGCAGCCAATGTCAAAAGCGCCTATAAGTTGAATTCAGCTGTATTAATTTATAAGTGATTTAGCTTTACAAACCTGCCTTTTAAGAGGTCATTTAAAGAACAATGTCTACCTCTGGTGTTTCTAAAAATAATATTAAATTAATCATTCAGCATTTTGTGTTTTCAGATTTGCTGGTCTTCATTTCTTAAAAAGTTTTCTACAGATCTAGTTTCTTCATAGGTATCAGAAAAATTGCTAAGAGCAAATAAAAATATATAAATAACTGACTTGTAAACTTTGGTTCCTGAAAGAACACTTACGAGTGATAAAAAGGTTATTCATGTCCTGTGAAAAACTGTAAAAATAACTTTGCTCTTACCATGCGGTAAATCACAGAATACCTTTTCTGCCCTCTTGGTAATATGCTATGGTTTGAACTTCCTAATGAATGCTTATGTTGTGTACATTTGTRGGATTAGATTTAAATGCCTGGTCTTCAGTCGTTAAATGTCAGTATACTAAAGTATTTGTTGGACAACTCAAAGTTTCTTTAAAAACAAAAAAAAACTTTAATTTTTTTTCTGTAGTAAGAGAGAAGAAAAAAACTTTTTAAGTCCAAGTGACAGTGTCAAATGCTTTGTGTGAAATAATTACCTAGGCCATTCTTAATAAAATCCAGTATATTTTTTTTTCTAAACAAAACGGTCATACTCCTATTCTGTTGACTTCCTTCATTTTAAGGAATTGTGGCACCTCTAGGAGATGTTTCAGAGCACAAGTGCATGTTCAAATCTCTGAAACCTCCCCTTCCACGTAGTTGTTATAGGAGATATTTATGATACTCCCCGAAATGAAGCACCCCGAGTAGTGGATTTCACCTGAGTAACTTGTCTGGCTGTGGGGAATCTAATGAAGCTAACTGAAGTCTAGTTATTAGGATTTAACAAGGAAATGCTTCTTTTTAGCTTTCTTTACGTGGCAAGGAAACCTGTCTGTTTGTGTAAACCAGCATTCAGGTCTGCACGTGTGTCACGCATCTCACTCCTAGAGTGACCTAGAATAACTTTGAGGTGTTGACAGGACTTCATGCTGAGATGCCCAGCTGTTTTCCCAATGGACTGTTTTAGCATTAACAAAGGTCTGTTTGCAAAGGATTTTGTCATAATAATATACATAATCTTTTTTTCCAAAATGATTTTCCTAAGTATCTGAAGAGCTCCTGTATGTCTGTGCAGTCTGTAGAAAACCCAGGTAACTGAATTGGCTGATGTGGCTTCCTCTCCAGGGAAGTTTTAATGAACTGGCCTATACTAAATGCAAGTCTCTGTGGAAGTAGATCAGTATTATTACATACTTACTGTATTCTAGATATAAATGCATAAAGGTTAATGGATTAATAAAATTGTCATCTTTCAGTTATCATTGCATATCCCATGAACCAAATGTATAATCTCAATTAGAAAGAGAGCCAAAGGGAAAATAAATAATTGTGCAAAGAAAAGACAATCCTTTTGTCTTAGCTAAATACCTAACATTTTGATGCGAGCCACTGCATTGTAGTAAACTGCATTTAATGTCTTAGGAAAGAAAATGCATTTAAATATTATAGTGGCTAAAATCAATCTAGGTTATTGTGAGAAATAAACCAGCTATATTTTTGGCCGTCAATTTTTTAGGATTTCACTAAAAAATAAATGAGAATACAGAAATAATAAATGAGCGTGTAGTAGTTTAATCACTTTTAAGTTACTAGAATGATCTTTGAATAAGGATCATTTCACTAATTCAGCTGGGTYAGCTTTTGTAGGGAAATTAAAGTAATGCTGATGATGCAGTTTTAAGAGTCCTTCCCCCAACCCCCRGTGTGAAATCTTCCAAATGTTTCACATTTACTGGCATAACCTTTTGAACAACTGGCAATTCTTCTGTCGTCTTTCAACACTAGACATGTATAGACGGGCAGAGACTATTTTATCAGCACAGAGGACAGCAATGATTTGGATGGTGGTCACAAGGAGCCTAAGAGACAGGACATGAGGAATATGGGGGCATGCATAGWTTTGGTACATAGTTTTGGATGGGTGGAAGGAGTTTATTAAGCAGTGAAAAGCCAGCTCATAAAATCGGAGGTTTGTGAACTACTTTGCCCTTTACAAGGCTGTTTTTGAAGCTCTAGGGGAGCAAAAACCTGCATGGTGTGATTTTGCAAAGCTACATGAGCAATAATACACCACCTGGGAAATAAAGAAAGAGCCAAGAAACAGCAAATGCGCCTGCAGCAAATGGTCACCCTGATCAAAGGCAATGGTGCAAAATTTCTCACACAGCAGAGAAATGGAAAAAAACATGCACCTTCTGGTTTGAAAACAGCCCTGATGACAGCAAGTCCCATATGCCTTTCTTGTTCTTGAAGACCAGGAAGGATGTCTCTGAGGGAATTAGCATGGAAAAGAAGGTTTTCCGTCCTCCTGAAGCATTTGGAAAGGTGACTGATTTCTCTACTGGCAGCAGTCTTGGTGCCCTGCCRTGTTATAGGGGCGAGCGGTGCCATGGAGGAGCCCCAGGCCTGAGCAGGCCGTGGCCCACCCCTGCCACATGTGGTGTTGAGGGTTCTCCTCCACAGGGACCCCTGGCCTAGCTGGACACGGGACTATCAAAGAGGTTCTTGCTTCTATATTTATAAATCACTATGTATATGAACCTAGTTCTTTGCTGGCAGATGGTGGCAAGGAGTAGTGTTGCTAGGCCTGGCACTGCCTCCCTCTTGTTGTGACTGGTAGCGTGATGAATGTTTAGACAGAACGGTGCAGCATCAATATTTTCCTGTTAAGCTGTTACCCGCACTGGCATTTTATTATTTTGGACAGGAAAGGGTGGAGGACAGTGGAAGGAGTTTATCTCGTTCACCATTTTTTTATTTATAACCCATTTGTTTCTTTATTAGTCACCCTTCCTATCTTTCTGATTTTGAGCTGGGAATCTGTTTCTCTGCAGATTTGATAAGCAATTTTTCTTCTGCGCCAACCGAGTATTTTGCAGGGATGAAAATTCAGCAGTTGCTTTTGAAAACCGGTCCTCAAAATACAAGGGCACCAATATACATTTTCAGCAGGGAAGGAGATAATTATTTTGATTGTCAGCCACATGAAAGGACAAGCATTTGAGAAAGTATACAATTCTCAGATGTGGTTTAGGCAATGAATCCAACCCCAAACGCCTCCTTCATGTCCTCTGCTTGTTTGATTCTCTGTGGTAGATGAAAAATAGAGTCTCCGGGGGCTGGGGTGCAGTTCTTGTGCTAAAACATTTTCTCCATGCATGTGTATGAGTAAGATTTCCTTGTCTTATTTTACTACATTGTAGGACTTGAAACCTGATTTTAAAATGATTGTTTATTCATTGTAGTGCAGCCCTGCTTTTGCAATGCATAAGAATATTCCTTCATGCACCTCATTATTGTGTGGAATGACAATTGCTTCAACGTCATTAAAAAGTAAAATTTTGGATTACAGAGTTTAAGATGACATAACTCACTGCTTATTAGTCTTTTAAATAAATAGGACAAAGTCACAGCAGCAGTGGTTGTCTGGGAACGGTGCTGTCAGGGGATCAGAAGCAAGAACCTCGGGGAC